ATGTTCTCCACATCCATCCACACTGTTGCAAAGGGTACAATTGTCTTTTTTACATCTGAGTAGTATTCCATTGTGTAAATGTCCCATTATTGTTTTATCCACTCATCTGATGGATACGTGGGCTGTTTCCATATCTTGGTGATTGTAAATAATGCCGTAGTGAACAGTAGTGTTTTGGGTTTCCTCAGATAAATTCCCGTAAGTGGAATCATAAGGTGGTTCCATTTTTCATTTTTTGAGGCATCTCCATGCCACTCCCCACAGCGGCTGCACCCGTCTGCATTCCCACCAACGATGCAGGACGGTTCCCGTTCCCCACGTCCTTGCCAGCACTTGTTATTTATTCATTTATGGGTGACAGCCATTCTGACACTCGTGAGGTGACATCTCATTGTGGTTTTAATTTGCATCTCTCTGATTAGTGGCATTGAGCATCTTTTCATAGGTCTGCGGGCCATCTGTATGTCCTTTTTGGGTAAACTAATTATTTTTTATTTTATTTTATTTATTTTTAGAGAGGGAAGGGAGAGAGAGAGAGAGAGAGAGAGAGAAACATCAATGTGCGGTTGCTGGGGGCCATGGCCTGCAACCTAGGCATGTGCCCTGACTGGGAATCGAACCTGCGATGCCTGGTTCACAGCCCGCGCTCAATCCACTGAGCTATGCCAGCCAGGGCGTAAACTAATTATTTTTAAAACAAAAACAGCATGAGGAAGTAAACCAGAATAGTCCACAGTCCCAACAAACAGGATCCGCTTCAGTCAGCTAAGGCCACAAAGTTGGTAGAAGCTGCATGTTGGCACAACAGGCAGGAGTGATGTGTCGTGGATATGTCCATCACTTGAGCCCCCCATTCCTGATGTACAGGTGCTGCTGGCGACCGCAATGGCCTCAGACGCTTGACTCTGGCTATCACAGCCGATGGGGTCATTAGTGGTCAGTGAGGAACAATGAACGTGGCATACACGGGCGGTTGTCACCACCAGCTGCGTGTTAGAATCACCTGGGGAGCTTTCTGGACTCCCAGTGCGAGGAGGATGCGCCCCGTGCTCACTAAACCAGAGTCTTTGGGATTGGACCAGATGCCAGTGTTTTTTTTTAAATTGTTTTCTTGTTCAATTACAGTTGCCTGTATTTTCTGCCACCCCCCCATACCAGTATTTTTTTAAGTCTCCCTTCCCGGTGTGCCTTCAGAGCCCAGAACTATTCATCTATTCCTTCCAGTGTAGAGGCGCATTTACAGACATTGAACCTGGACGGCTCCTGAAACGAGCCCAGAATCAGCACGGCCACTTTCTCACTGGGGTGAGCGAGTCGGAGGGAGGGAACCAGTTGCTGGAAGGGGAACAGGATGGTGTACAGTGAAAAGACCTCCCCACCCCCTCCCTAAGGGTAACGGCCACTGTGTTTTGTATGCCCTAGAAAAGATCGGTTGGGGGCATGTACACACAGTCATAAGTGTGTGTTCAGGTTTTGTTCAAGTTTATATCTTTATACTCGATTACATATTTGTATCAAATTTACACAAAGGTGTTACACCATGTAATCGGTTACATATCCACGACTAGTCACATTGTGTGATATGTTCCTAGTGCTCATTTACTTCTCATCTGATGTTACAAAAAAGGCTACTATGGAAGTTAGCAGATGCGCACCACACACACCTTTTCAATACATCCAGAGTGTGAGTCCCCTGCAGTGAGTATCGATTGGTAGCTCGAAGAGTGTCTGCTATGTCCATTTTAATAAAGCTGCAGACCAAAACGGTTGCAGGAACTGATACTCCTAGGAGAAATGTATGTGCATGCTTTTTCCTTTATCTTTCCATCAAACTTAACTTTTCCTAATCTGACAGGTGAAAAAAATTGTCTCCCGTTGGACATGTTTTCATGGGTGTTATTGGCCATTGTAATTTCTTCCGAATACTACATCATATTCCTTGCCTGTTTTCTTTTGGGCCCATTGTCTTACTGCTTTAAAGGAGTTCAAAGCTCGCGTCAGTGTGGCCCATACATCGCCCGGACCACGCCCAGCTTCCAGGAAGTCCACAGGTTGTCTTCTTTAAACTGACTCACTGGACTCATGTCTTTCCATATATTTATCTTTCGGACATTAGCCATGGCCCACAAAAGGAATGCCATTCATAGGTGTGGTATGCAGGGAAGTATTTGTTAGCTTTTTAGAATTAAATTTCATGATCACAAATTAATTTCCATAAACTGCCCTGTAGGGAGGAAGTCAGGACCAGGGGAGTGAGTATCTTGGTCCACTCAGCCATTCAGATACACTTATGAAATGAATACAGCCATAGAGTGGATTTAGTGATACAGAACGAGTGTGAATCACAAATTAGTTTCCTACATAAACATTCTAATGAGATGTGAGTAAACGCTACTTCCTATTTCAAACATGCAAGACAAGTTAACCTCAAGGTTCAGTGTGAATTTCCACAGCAGTCAGATCTCAACATCACGGTAACAATACACAGACTCAGTTTAAACCTGATTCGGCTGCATCTTCCAGACAAGTGGTAATGGTGCTTTTAGATTCACAGCGTTGAGTACGTGAGTCAACAGTCTTCCTCATCACCCACGGGTTTCCCGGTTAAATGGCCTGTGTTTGGGAAGTTTGTATTGTGATGTGAACCAAGACTCACTTTAAGTAACTTGGGCTCATAGTTTTGTTTTTCTGTGTAAGCACTTGTTCCCTTTTTACTCCCTGGGGTATGGACCGTTTCTCAAAACGTCATGTTTGTGGAGGTGTGGAAACACGGTAATGCATTGTTCCTTTCCTTCCTTCCTCTTCTTTCTTCCTTTTTCTTCCTTTCTTTCTCGAGAAAACACTTGGCACAGCCCAGAGCACCACTCGGGGCCACAAGCTCCAAGCAGGGATCCATATCAGGTCTCAAAGTTTTTCAGAAAGCAAGACAACTCCTTCGTGTATATTTAAGCCTGCGTCTTAACTTTATAATCCACAGCCTAGAATCCTGGCATCTCAGGAGATGGTCAGAGGATTCATTTGTGAATTGACAGCACAGGTCAGAAATTTGGAGAATCCTGATGGTTCTGAGACACATTGAATCCTGGGCTTTTTTCCAGGCCAGACTGATGGTCAGGTTCACATGGGAGCTTACGAAGGTGTAGACCCCTGGGCCGCCCCGCTGTGTGGTCCGAATGAGTGGGCCTGGGTGGGGCAGGAATCTGGGTGGCAGATCACCCTCAGCATGGATTAGTCGTCCCCAGTCCAAGCTCTCTTCAGCCCTAGCCATGACTGAAGAGAGGCATCTACAAGCCACCCGTCTGCATTACAGTATCCTAGCTTCCTGCAGCAATGAGGCTTACGGGTCTTCTTGTCAACACGAGACATCTGTTTGTAGACAATTCCCACACCATTCCTAAAACAGGCTAAAAGCATCAACCAGCATTTATACAAGAATCTGTGTCAATTCTTTTTCCTAAAAATGCCTTGAAGAGGTGGCTCTACAGACGAACCTCTTTTTTTTTTAATTTATTTTTAGAGAGGGAAGGGAGGGAGAAAGAGAGAGGGAGAGAAACATCAATGTGCGGTTGCTGGGGGTCATGGCCTGCAACTCAGGCATGTACCCTGACTGGGAATCGAACCTTCGACACTTTGGTTCGCAGCCCACACTCAATCCACTGAGCTATGCCAGCCAGGCAGACGAACCTCTTTTATCAGGTAGAAGCAATGCATCCCAAGATACTTGTCTCCTGGTCTTCGAGGAAGCTCATGCGTAAACTGTCCCATTGGGAAAAGTATCCCATTTCAAAAGACCTGCATTTATTTCTGCCTTCTGACTTACAGCTTTTAAAGGTTATATTCTGCTTTTTAAAAGCATCTGACCACATCTGCTAATCGAGGTATAATGTAAGCAACCCAGGCACTGAACAATCCTGTAGCTTTGAACTCCAAGATGTTCTAGAAGCCAAAATGTAAAAAACACATCTCATTTTTCACTTGCAAAAGGAGAAAGAAACCTGGTGGATTTCAGTGCCTTGATACCTAGAGAGAAAGGGAGCGGAGGGGAAAGGTGGGGGAGTCTGGGAGTCGTGTGGGGAGGCTTTCTTCCGCAAGGTTGCACAGGACAGCACTAGTTTTGCAAATCCCTTGGCCTTGAAGGCCCAGAAACCTGCTGTTAATGAGCACGAGGAATGTCCATCTGTCAGGGTCAATCTCACATCCGCCAACCTCCTGGACTAATGTATGCAACCAGAGTACCAGTTCATTCCCAGTAAGAGTTAAAATTGCCTTTGAAACACACATACCGTTTAACCTGCTCATTCCTGTCCTAAAGCTTCGGGGTCATTGCCCCATCCATCCTGTCCCATGACAGCACCCCCTGCGCCACTGTGCTCTGTGGTCAACTGTGAGTTTCTTTAGCTCGAATCCCCATTTCCCAGCGCTGCTCATCCCAAACTTTTCAAACCTCCTTTGAGCCTGCAAATCCCAACTAACCTTGTCCTCGGAACTGGTAAGAGCACATGGTTCCTTCCTCGCTCCTTTTCACTATCTTTTTATTATGCCGCCCTGTGTACATGCATGCGCACAGGAGGCCGAGGACAGTGTCTGTATTTTAGTGACGTTTGAAACTCTGCGTTTCAGACCAACACAGAGCCCGATACAGGTCACACCTCTCGAGTATTCGCTGCCCCAGGGGAAGACCAGGGGGTCCTGGGCGGGTCTCGGGCTCCCAGCCTGCAGGACCGCTCGCCTCCTCTCACCGAAAGGCGAGTCAGCCTCGCCGTCCGCCGCGTGCCCAGCGCGGGCACACGGCCCAGCGTAGAACTGAGGCTCAGGCTACCGAGAGAACGGACCCACTGGGGACGAAGGGGTCCGACGAACGATGGGAGAGCTCACCCCTTCGCCCACCCGGACGCCGGGAAGTTGAAGGCGGCAGGAGCGAGCCCTGATTGGACGACTCAGCGGCGCGGGACAGCGCTCACCGCCCGGGGCGGGGCAGGGCGCCCCGTGGCCCCGCCCACGCGAGCGCGGGATCCGTGGCGCCCGGGAACCGGCGCGCGCCAAGGTGTCGCAGACTGAGTCCCTGCAGGTACGCTTCCCGCGCTGCTGGCTCTCGCGTCCCGGTGTCCCCGCGGGTCTCCAGACCGGACCGGGCCGGGGAGACTGGCTCTCTCTGAACGCAGGCGGCGGGGGCCCGGGATAGCTCCGGAGCGGCGTGCGTTCGGGCGGCGGGTTCCCGCCAAGCCTCAGCCCCGCGCTGTCTCTTTCCCGCCAGGCCGGGTCTCGGCTTCCTGGGCCGAGCGCCCTGCCCTTACAGCTTGGGGACCGGGTCGGGGGTCCCTGTCCCGGGAGGCTCCCTGGCCCGGCGGCCCTGCCCCTGGAAAGCGGGGTTCCCGCGCGGCCCCGGCCCTCTCTTTTTGCAGCCCCCGGGCAGCCGCCTCTTCCTGGGGACCACTCCCCCGGTCACCCAGGCTCCTGGGAAGTGGGGTTCCCTCGTGGGCTCGGCCCCCTCATTCTACAGCCCCCTCCTCCTGGCAGTCCCCTTCCCTCCCCGTGCGGCCCGGCCCCCCAGCTCTGCCGGAGTGCCCCCAAACCCCACTAAGCGGGGGTAAGGCCGGCCTCCTGATTTTCTCTGCCTGTCGGTCTGTTTTGCTCTTCTGGATGGACGGATGGACGGACGGACGTAGCAGGACAATCTCAAAAGCAGGGGCTCGGCAGAGCATTCTAGTTGGAATTTGCAAGGTCTTGTGTCAAGATGTGATCGGCCATCTTTTTCATAGTTGGGGGTCCTGGCTGCTCACGAGCGTTCAGGTTTCCTGCTTGATACAGTTCATTCCCAACGACTCTCCGCTTTCCTCTGTCTTGTGGGAAGGAACCGGCCGAGGACCATTCCTGCCCCTCGGCGACGCGGCAGGATGAAAGTCATCACGTGTGAAATCGTCTGGCACAACAAGGAGCCGGTGTACAGCCTGGACCTGCAGCCGGGCGCTGCGGGGCGGACCCACCGGCTGGCATCTGCGGGCGTCGACATGGTCGTGCGGGTAAAGCGGGCGCCGGGCGCAGGCGGCGGGGCACGGGCAGGCAGCCGGAGCAGCCAGCCTCCTCCGGTCTTTGATTTTCAGTGACAGTATTGTGCCGGGTTCCATGAGCTGGCGCGTGTATGATGCGTCCTCACGGTTCAGGGAAAGTAAAACCTTTCGTTTTAATTTTTTAATTCAGTTTTTTATTTATTCATATTTAGAAACAAAACCGATGACCGCATTTCAGCGTATTATTTTGCATGCGGATAATCGTTACTGCTTTCTGGAATTATGCTTTTAACGCATAAGCATAAATAAAATAATTAAGAACATTTACATAGATACGGAATTAGTACCACCCATGTATAATGTGTATCCTTATTTTTCTCTCAAAAATGTGGGCAAAAACGGTGCGTGTTATACACGGCAAAATACGGTGACGCCCACCAACTCAGGCTTCTTGCACACTTCCTTCTTTAGACCGGGGGGGTGAGCCTCAGGGCCCCCTGGGAACCAGGCAGCAAAAGAAAGCCGCTTCCTTTCGTGGTCCTGTTCCCTAGACTGAGGGACCTGGGATGCCCATGGTTTTAGGGCCCTGAGCCAGGTTCCTGCTGGGGAGCAATCTGCACCAGAAGGAGGTGGGAGGGAGGGCAGCGGGGCAGGGGACTGTTGGCTTATGTTTCAGATAGAGGTGCCTTCATTTTCTGTTTCAGAAGCAAAACTGCATGTCCTCCCTGGAAATGAGCGTAGTGGGGTGTTGGGTCAGCGTGCGCACTATGGTGGGTGCCCACTCGCTGTTTCTCTGCATGACCGTTTCGGTATCCGCAGATCTGGAAGGTGGAGAAAGGACCGGACGGAAAGGCCATCGTGGAATTTTTGTCCAGTCTCGCTCGCCATACCAAAGCCGTCAATGTCGTGCGTTTTTCTCCCAACGGGGAAATCTTAGCCTCGGGGGGCGACGGTGAGTATCGGGCTTCAAAATCCCTTAGGAACTGCATACCCGTGTGTCTCGCGGTAAATCGCGAGATTTGAGCCAGGCAGGCTTTTTTATTTTAGAGGTCGCTGGACCCTGACAATCCATCACTTAGATAGCTTAGTAAAATAAGAATAATGTTCTGGGGAGTGTGAGCAGATGGAAGACAGCAAACTTAAACTGAGAAGACCCACTCGAGGGTGGCCCCCCCCACCCCAACGGGCCTCCACTGGGCGGGTTTGGAGACGCGGTGTTCATCGATCTGCCGGAGTCTGGCGGCCCCGTTCTGGCCTTGCCTGATTGTTGGTTTAGAGTTTATAAGCGATCACAGTCTGTTCCATGTTTCTGTGTAATTAGTTAATTAATTGGCCCTCTAAAGTATGTTTGTTTGGCGGAAGTAGATTGCTTTATACTTTCTGCTTGTGCTTAAGTGGCATAAAACTTGTCCAGCAAACTCAAGAACTGTCTGGAGGCTTTGGCCCGTAGTTAGTAATAGTGATTTAGCCAAGGGTCTTAGAGTTTGCACCCTGGGAGCACAGGTGGGCTCTGTAAGGAAAGAAAAGTGAAGATTTCTCACAGTCAAAAGCGCGTTCTTGAGAATTGTCAATCCTGCATTCCTAGCCATAGGTCGGGTCCAGGACAGTTAACCAGCAGGCGTCAGGCGGTGAGGATGATGGTGCCAGGTGGTCTAGGGTGGGCGCCATGGCCTCGGTCACACCCGGTGTCCTGGGTAAGGGATGTCAGGTGGCCTGGGTCCTGGGCGATCAGGGGGTTCGTTCCCTGGAGGCCGGGAGTGTGTCCAGATGCACATCCAGGCGTTGGTGCAGGATGGGAGAGTTCACGAAGTTTGAGCTCCCAGGTCAGTTAGAACAAGGACAGTGTCTTTTCTCCCGCTTCCACCTTCCTAATGTGAGTAATTTTAGCAGCTCCACTGTATATGTCCTCCGAGTCTACTCTTCAAACTGGACAGAAAAAGCCATGCTTTAACACCAGAACGGTCTGGAAGTCAGTGCAAAATAAAACCGAAATCTCAGACTTGGTTTGCAGGAGGAAAAGAGCCCTGGTTATTAAACTCGGTGCCGGAGGGCCTGAGCGGGTCTGCAGAGGGAAAGGAGGGGGTAGGGACATGCCCTGGCGGGGCAGGCCGGATATCTCCGGTGAGGTTGCCCAGGGCGGTGAAGTCCTTCGGCCTTGGAGGCCCAGGGAGCTGCCGTCGGCACGTGGGGAGGGAGTGTCTGCCTGGCAGGGCCTATGTCGGCTGGGCTGGGCTGCCAGGGTTCCAGTCCCAGAGTGAGATCGAGCGTGTGTTCCGCCGCCTCCTTTATGGCCCCCCTGCAGGCAGTCCTGGGACGGAAGCCGAGGCGGGGGGGAAGGGCGAGTGGTGAGCGTGGAGTCAGCGCGGGCAGGGAGGGCCCAGACAGTCGATGACGTCAGGCTGACCTACGCGGCCCGTCCGTGATATTGACAGCCAGCACCCAGATGGGTTACCGTGCGCCAGGCGTTGGGCCGTAGGCGCTCTGCAGGTGAACTCAGGTACTCCTGAGGCCCGTGTTCTCTTATCCTCCCCGTTTTACAGGTGAGGACTCGGAGGCCTCACGTGACTTGCCGGAGGCCACACAGCTAGGGGCGATGGGCCAGGCCTGGTGTGTGTCCGTGGCTCTTTGTGGCTGCTTTTCCCTTACTCAGTCGTGTCTAGGTAGTGCCTGTAGGTTTGTTAACGCCATCAGTCGCTTTGCGGTGGTGTTTGGCCGGCCTGGGGACCCTTCTGTTGAAGGCGACTTCGTGTAGCGCTGGCCTGGATGAGTCTGATTCTGGAGGTTCCGTTCAGAAGGCAAGCCTGTTTTCCCCGTCAGGATTCTTAGAGGTCAGCGGTCAGGGCCCTCGTCGGACGACAAACGTGTTGTTTGATCGCCCAGAAATCCGGACGGGCGCAGGGTGCACTACGGCGCCAGCCGCCCTTGACCGACCCCCTCCACAGATGCGGTCATTCTGCTGTGGAAGGTGAATGACAACAAGGAGCCAGAACAGATCGCGTTTCAGGACGAGGATGAGGCTGAGCTGAACAAGGAGAACTGGACCGTCGTAAAAACCCTCAGGTAGCAAAGCGCCGGGAGGGGCCGCGGAGTGATCCGTCTCTACCTTCCGAGTGCATTACCCCGATGGGCCTTTTGGCTTTCGTATCCAACTTGACACTTTTACTTAGGCAAGACAGAAATAAGAGAACGGTTTTAAAACGTAAAAGCAGGCTTAAGATGGGTTTTCTTAGTGTCTGCTATAAGATGTTCCTTAGTAGAATGAATCCATTTTAAAGACACAAATGTCCTTGAATGCAGTAAGTCACAGCTACAGCGAACCCAGTTCCAGCGGCCGTTTCGGAAACCCCATGCGAACGTGTGGTCCCTGAGCTGGCCTTCTCTCTTCTCTCCCCTCCTTTCCTTCTCCGGGTTCTAGGGGCCACCTGGAAGACGTGTACGACATTTGCTGGGCCACGGATGGGAACCTGATGGCGTCCGCCTCGGTGGACAACACGGCCATCGTGTGGGACGTCAGCAAAGGTAGGGCGTTGCTGCCATCAGGGGAAGCAGGAGTCTAGGGGTCTAAAGAGCCGACCTGCTCTCTTTAAAGGCGTCAGAAGGCTTTCTGCAGTGAGTTCAAGTCAGGGGGCGGCAGAGCAGGGTGGGGGTTCGCCGGTGTGCCCTGGGCTCAGCGCAGCCTCTGTCGGGCTGCAGTGTGCTTACCCGGCGGCGGGTCTGTCTCTGCCGCGCGGAGCTCCGAGCGCCTGGGAGCGCGGGGCCGCGTGGCGTCGTCTTTGTGTCCGCAGTGTCTGACACAGAGTTCGCTGCAGTCTCGCCGCCTACTGCGTGCAGAGCAGCATTGTACAAAGACAGTGATGTGTGATGGGAGTGTGCCCCGACTGTGCTTAGCAGGTTTTATAACGCTGCTGTGCGCTTTTCTCACAGGACAGAAGATCTCCATCTTCAACGAACATAAAAGTTACGTGCAAGGAATAACCTGGGATCCTTTGGGACAGTATATTGCTACGCTGAGCTGTGACAGGTACGTTAGTGTAAGACAAACTGTCTTTATTTACCTGGAAATTTCTGCAGAGGTGTTTTATCACAACTTAGCCGATAGAAACCATGGCCTAGCTTTGATTCTTTCGTTCCCAGTTTCATATAAAGGACATTGTCTTCTGTTATTTTTACAGTATAAGAAAAATTGGAAACCGATCAGGGCAAGTGCCTGACCTGAAGTTAGTGCTTAGTAAATCTTTTTTTTTTTTTAAGATTTTATTTATTTATTTTTAGAGAGGGAAGGGAGGAAGAGAGAGAGAGAGAAACATCAATGTGCGGTTGCTGGGGGCCATGGCCTGCAACCCAGGCATGTGCCCTGACTGGGAATTGAACCTGCAGTGCCTGGTTCGCAGCCCATGCTCAATCCACTGAGCTACGCCAGCTAGGGCTTTCACAGGCAACTTATAAAGAAAAAGTCTTTTATAAACATGACTTACGAAGATGTACCTAGTGGTAGGGCTAGATATTTTACTTTATTTTTTTAATTTATTTTTTAAGATTTATTTATTTTTAGAGAGGGAAAGGGAGGGAGAAAGAGAGAGAAACATGAATGTGCGGTTGCTGGGGGCCGTGGCCTGCAACTCAGGCATGTACCCTGACTGGGAATCGAACCTGCGACACTTTGGTTCGCAGCCCGCGCTCAATCCACTGAGCTACTCCAGCCAGGGCTACTTTATTTTTTATTGTAGTTTACTATGGCAGTGATTTTAATGAGACTATCTAAATTAATATAAACATAAAATCAGTTGTCCTTTTTGAAAGGAGGGCTTCCTGCTGGGTTTGCTGGGATAATTGCATTGAATTGTGTTCTTGGAACAAAGACTTTAAAAAATCAGGGTGCCAGGCCCGCCACTTGTCAGTCAAAGTAGCCCTACTGAATATTTATCGACTGCTTTTAATCCCAGTACATTTAAGTTCAGGCGGCGCTGGAACGAAGTAATATAGAAAAGTCAGTGTGTATTTTTCATAGAATCTTCTGCTGTATTCCCGATGTTGTTTCTTTTCTTTTTTTTTAAGGTTTTATTTATTTATTTTTAGAGAGGGAAGGGAAGGGGAGAGAGAGAGAGAGAGAGAGAGAGAGAGAGAGAGAGAGAGAGAGAGAGAGAGACATCAATGAGCAGTTGCTGGGGGCCATGGCCTGCAACTCAGGCATGTGCCCTGACTGGGAATCGAACCTGCGACACTTTGGTTCACAGCCTGCGCTCAATCCACTGAGCTACGCCAGCCAGGGCGTTTATTTTCTGATTATGCTTTCACTCAGGCAGCCGGGAGTAAAATACATTTCATTCCACCAGTGTGAGCAAAATGCGTCCCCAGCAGCCAAGTTTCCCAGCTGGTGGTCCCTGAGGGCGACACTGTTCAACATGCAGTAAACTCCGCCACAGCCAAGCAGGCCGCCCCGGGCCAAAGGTCCAGCCCCGGAGAACCAGGCCAGGCCTGACGCGCACCTTACCTGAGAGGCTGAGACGTTCAGTGAGAAATGAGAGGAGGACACCTTTCTCCACTTTGTTAGTGACAGCCTTTCAGTGGCTCCTGCTGAAAGCCAGCTCCGTCATTAGTTACGTGGGAAAGTCACCGGTAAACGGCTTTGCAGGCCGGAAATCGTGGAAGTGACCTTCGATGTCGGTGACAGATTGATCCTGTGTGAAACGGCTCCTTTGCTGGGAGACGTCACTCAGACTCCCTGTTTCTTTCGTTCAGGACCCTGAGGGTGTACAGCACACAGAAGAAGCGTGTGGCTTTCAACGTGTCGAAGATGCTGTCCGGCACGGGCGCCGAAGGAGAGGTGGGAGCCGCTGGCTTTGCTCGCTGCAGAGCGCTAGCCGGGACGTGGGCGGTCTGAGCGCCCCCCTACCCCCGTATCTTGCAGGCAGATCGCTGTCTCAGTGACACCTGGACCCCAGTAAGGTTTCCTCTTGGACAGTCCAGGCTCGGCTCAGGTGGGGGGCTGGCCTGTCTGGGAATGGGGACGTCTCTGGGCGCTGGAGGACAGTGGTTTCCAGCCCTGGCCGCCCTGTGGAGTCACCTGGGAAGCATTAAAAAATACAAATGCCTGGTCTCCGGCCCCAGAGGTGTGCCTCACTGGGCTGGAGGCAGGCAGGGCCTACGGGATTCCGAGGTGCCGCGGGGGTCAGGCCCACGGGCCTGGGAGGACCCCAGCGTCAGGTGCAGGAAGGTAGGTGGGTCTCATGGTGGATCGTCGGCAGCAGGCAGTGCAGCCTCTTGGCGGGCGGAGGCAGGTGGAGCGCCCAGGTGGCCGGCGACAGCGGGACCCGGCCATTGGGCTGGCGTTCGGGAGCAGGGGGATTCTGCTCTTAGAAGGATCTGGGTGAGTCAAAGTAGGATCCTAGCCCTGGAGGAATCGAGGCTACGGGGCAGGCGCTCAGCCTGAAGGGAGAGGCCACTTACTGGCAAAAGAAAGGGCCGGGTGCCGGTGCAGCCCTGGGGTGGTGGGGTGTGGGCCGCAGGGGCCTCGGGCTGGCTGATGCTGCCTCATGCTGCCTGATGCTGCCTGATGCTGCCTGATGCTGCCTGATGCTGATGCTGGCTGATGCTGGTGCTGGCTGGTGCTGGCTGGTGCTGGCTGATGCTGCCTGATGCTGCCTGATGCTGGCTGATGCTGATGCTGGCTGGTGCTGGCTGGTGCTGGCTGATGCTGATGCTGGCTGATGCTGGCTGATGCTGATGCTGGCTGGTGCTGGCTGGTGCTGGCTGATGCTGATGCTGGCTGATGCTGGCTGATGCTGGCAGGGGCACACCCTGTGTGAAGCGGGGATAACGCTCCGTGGATTCTTGGGGATCACAGTCTTACTGTTCGGGAAGTGCTGGCGGAAGCAGCACAGACGGTCACACGGTGTTCAAGCAATGCTTGGAAAGATGGGATTACCAGTTTAGTAACCTACTATATTCTTTTAAAAAAAGTTTTCGTGTGGTCAGCAACCCTGAATTACACACACAGACAATGAGCAGAGGACGCCCGGCCGTCTTCCTGCTGTCTTCCCGGCCCCCCCACACGGACCACTGGTGCCCAGGGCTTTTCAACTCACTGTTGAACCATGCACCCACACATGTGGACACGTACATGGGCACACACACACGCACATGCATGTACACGTGGGCACAGACACACAGAGTTTCTGTGAACAGAAAGGATCAGTTCATGACGAGTCCTCAGGCGCGTTTGATGCATGATACATTATTTCAGGTTTACTTACCATGGTCAGCAATGAAGGGTCATACGAACCTTAGGCATCCGTGAGCCTTCCTTGTGAACGTACGGGTTTGGACTAATGTGTAACCTTCGGGCCACAGGCGAGAAGTTACCGGATGTTTCACGACGACAGCATGAAGTCCTTCTTCCGTCGCCTGAGCTTCACCCCCGACGGGTCTCTGCTCCTGACGCCAGGTGCGTGGGGCAGCGCAGGGCCTCCCGGGGCCGGTCTGAGGGCTCAGACCTCTGGTCACCGCCAGGTGTCTAACAGCGAGTGCGGTGGCAGAGCTGCCGTGTGGGTATCGGGCAGAGGCCAAAGCAGGGATAAAAGTGGAAGAGGAGGGGAACCAAGGAGGATGGATAAAAGGGGGGAAAAGCATGCATTAGTTTTCTGTAAGTTGACTTGCATGAGCAGTCGACTCAGAAAAGCAAAATGAGGAAGAGTCTGAACAACACTCCACTTTGTAAAGAAACCAAAGAACCCACCACGTGCGTGTACCTGCGGGTCAGGTAGGCTGGTTGTCACGGTTACGGGAGCCTGGAGGAGATGCAGGGGTGACAGTCGTGTGTCGGCAGACACGTGGGCAGGGAAGGACAGGGCGGGGCCGCTCCCGCCCTCCCGGTGGACACGAGGCCGTCCCGGGTGAGACGGGGCGTGGCACTGCGTCAGACGGGGGTGTCCCCACGGCAGCTGCATGTGACTGTCATTCTCTGCCAGGGTCTGGCCTGGCTCCGAGGGCATCCTGGGGTGAGCGTAGAAGAAATCTCGGGCACGGGCTGCCCAACCCCCAGCGCCCAGCCGGCGTCTGCAGGGCCTGGAGACTTCCGCAGAGGGCCAGGCCTCCCAGTCCCTCGGGGGCGGGGGAAGGCCCGGTCCCAGCGCTTGGGTGGCAGCCGAGGTCCGATCTGAGCACGCAGCCGGGGACATCGTCACAGCCCCGCAGCAAGGACTGGCTGGGTTCTCAGGCAGAGGCCTTCCGGGGAGAGGGTTCCCCCTTCCCGTTCTCCCTGCCCGGGTCTGGAGGTGGCTCCCAGCGGCCCAGCCCCTCAGGGGAGGTGACACCCAGGTGAGAGGACAGGCGGCTAGAACCAGAAGTAAGGGCTGGGCCCGGACTGTGACGAGGTGTGTGTTGGTCCCCAGTCCCAGAAACGGTGCCCGGGGAGCACCCTCCCCGGAAAGTTATTTTACGCACCAGAAGTGGCCGCTCTTGGGCTTTTGCTGGCGAACAGCTGAGTGACGCTCTGCCTTTTCCCGCCTCCCCAGCCGGGTGTGTGGAGTCCGGCGAGAACGTCACCAACACGACCTACGTTTTCTCCAGGAGAAACCTGAAGAGGTACGGGACCGGGGAACTGTCCGAAACGCCCCCTTTCTTCTTGCCGCTGTCGGGCAGCGGCGCCTTTTTCTGAAACCCCCTTCCTCCCTCCGCAGGCCGATCGCTCACCTCCCGTGTCCCGGGAAGGCGACGCTCGCCGTCCGCTGCTGTCCCGTCTACTTTGAGCTGAGGCCAGCGGGGGAGACAGGCACGTGAGCACCCAGAGCTGGTGCGGGGTGTTCTGCCGGGCGGGCGCGTCACCAGGGTGGGGGGTGACGTGGAGTTTCTCTCGCGGGGAGAGGTGAGCAGGTGCGGTTGGCTGGGTTGTGTCACTCGTGGGAGCTGCAGTGAGGACCGAGGTTGGCAGGACGTGTGCCCGGGGCTTGCTCTGTCCGAGCACACTTTTCTCCGCCGGGAGCAGCTTTAAAGGAATATCAGTGCCAGTCTTTTTTTTTTTTCCACGGAAGCAGGTTGAAAGCCTCATTATCAATTTTGTTAAAGATTTTATTTATTTATTTTTAGAGAGGGAAGGGAGGGAGAAAGAGAGAGAAACACCAGTGTGTGGTTGCTGGGGGCCATGGCCTGCAACCCAGGCATATGCCCTGACTGGGAATCGAACCTGCGATGCTTTGGTTCGCAGCCCGCGCTCAATCCACTGAGCTACGCCAGCCAGGGTCATTATCAATTTTTTATGCAGCATGATTTTGTTTGAATTGGATTTTTCTTTGTTTTTTAACTTTTTCCTCCCAGTTTGGGGGGTTTCGGTCATTACTTCTTCAAATATTTTTGTCATCCTCTCTCTGCGCTTCTGCAGCGGCCCCACCCGCCCATGCGGCCGTGCGAAGTCGCCCGGCAGCTCGCCAACACCCTGCCCCGTCCCTTCCCCCCACAGGGTTGGGTTGCGGGTGGCGCCTTGGCTGTCTGGGGCTCCCTGACCTCTCCTCCGTGTGGTCTGCCCGTGGTGCCGTCCGGCGTGTCCTCTGTCCGTCTGGGACCTGTCGCTTCCCCTCTGAACTTCTGTGTGCGTCTTGCCTCTCCGCTTGCTCCTGGGCCACGGGGGGCAGTTGTTTTCACTCTGGTCACATCTTTGTGTACATGGCCTTGCTTGGGACTGCTTTTTCTTCCTGCTCTCTTGGATGTGGTGAAGGTGGTTGGAAACGTTTCACTTCCTACGGGTCCTGCTGTTCAGCTGTGCTGGGGGCATCGCAGCCGCGCTGAGTCCAGGGCGGGTCTCCCCAGGGGGAGGCGGTGCCCGCCGAGCGCTCTCCTTGCTGCCCTGCCGGGAACAGGGGCTCCTCCCATGGCCGGTGGGAATGCGCCGTCTCTGGCCGTGCGCGCTCGGGGGCGGACCTTTCTCTCCCGTCTCCTCACCCACACGCGCTGAGCAGCGCCCAGCCGCAGACGGACGGCAGCTCCCTGGTCTCTGCTGCTGCAGCCTGGACCCCAGCGCCGGCCCCTCGTCCCCTCGTCCACTCGGCTCGGGGCAGGTGCCGGGCCTGGACACCCCAGGCAGGGAGCGCGGCCGCTGCTGCGCTTGGCGCGTGTGCTTCCCTTCCCTCGGGGCGTCGTCCTTCACGGCCGCCGGCCAGCGCCCTGAAGCATCGCCGGGCAAATGGGGTCCCAGGCTGGAAGCAGAAGGTGTTTTTAACCCTCTTGAGTTTTTATGTGAATGGGTATAATTAACCAGAAAGAACACTCAGGCGTCACTTGGCGCAATGTTTCCAGGGGACCCCGCTTCTCCTGATCAGAAAGGACCCGTGGGACTGCCCTGCCTCGTTCACACCGCCCCCCCCTTCTCCTTTCTCTTCGTCCTGGGCCTCGGGTGCCCTGGACTCTGGGTGCATGCATGGTTCCCATGTGTTCCTACGCTCAAATATAAAATGATAGAGAGGTCGGGATTCCTCTGTAAAGCGTTAGTCAAATCACACCGTGTGTGTCCCCTGAGAAAGGGCTTTGGGAGGAGAAGTTGTCCTTTGTGTCCTGTGGGAACTTGTCCATTGCCTGTGTGACTGTCCTCCCTTCGTCCCCCTCCGTCCCCCCGCAGACGGGCCTTCCCCGGGGCCGCTGGTGGCCCTGCCCTACCGCCTGGTGTTCGCCGTGGCTTCCGAGGACTCTGTGCTCTTCTACGACACGCAGCAGCTCTTCCCTTTCGGCTACGTGTCCAACATCCACTACCACACCCTGAGCGACATTTCCTGGTGAGCGGCTCGGGCACTGGAGGGCGGGCAGCGGAGGGAGAGTGGCCGGTCCCCTTGGGCCTGGGGGCACTGCAGGACAGCAGAGGACTTTTGACCCTTAGAGACCAGTTTTTTAAAAAGGAAGGGACATCGAAAGGAAAGCCATTTCTGGTTTGCAGTACACTTCCTGTGGTCACAGGGCGGCGGTGCCGCTCAGACTGCCCTGTGGGGCTGGTTGACCCTTGTGACCTGGGGGGTGGCCCTCGGGGGTGGCCCTGGGGCCTGTGGTTCGGGGGCTCCCCAGGCCATGGTTGGGGGGCAGCCAGCACCCACGAGCTGTCCAAGGAATTGCTGTGCACTGATTTCCGCCGAGGCCCCAGCCCCTCGGCTCCCTGTTCCTGCCCGCCCTGCCCCGCCCCGCCCCCGCCTTCTCAGGCCCGCCCACCCGCTCTCTGAGCCGTGGTTTTTCCTTCCAAAGAAGCTGGCGACCTCGCTCGGCCTTCCCATTTCTAACTCGTAACGGGGGGTGCGAGGAGTGGCCCGTGGACTCGGGTAGAGTTTCTGACATTTCCTCCTGCTTTGGGGACAAAGGTCCAGCGATGGGGCCTTCCTGGCCATTTCTTCCACTGATGGTTACTGTTCCTTCGTGACATTTGAGAAGGATGAACTTGGAATACCTTTCAAAGAGAAGCCAGATTTGAGCGCGGGAACTCCCGACACAGCGAAGAAAACCAAGAGCCAGACGCAACAGGGGTCTCCGCCAGGACCCAGACAGGTCGAGGGGACCCCCACCAGCAGGGTCCAGGACCCCAGCAGCCCCTGCACAGCGCCCGCTCAGGCGAAGCTGGCCCCAGCCCCAGCCCCCGCCCCCGCGGCGGCCAAGGACACGCCCCCGGCGGCCGCCGCAGCCCGAAGCTCCACCCCCGCGCCCTCGGAGGAGAGGAAGGCCCTGCAGCAGCCCAGCAGTCAGAACGCGAGAGGGCCCCCGCCGCGCAAGGTCGCCCTGAACACGCTGCAGGCCTGGAGCAAGACGCCCCGGTAAGGACTCCCGGCGGAGAAAGACCCGCGGAAGGGCCCCCGCTGTGGCAGGTGAACTTCCATCCAGGCCTGTCGCAGGGCCGCTGTGGCTCCGCCCTCCGGCCAGGACTGTCAGCTGCCCCTCCCCTGCTGCCAGACCCTGAAGGCTGGGTGACAAGAGCCCTTGGCCCCCGGAGGCCTCTGCCTTCACCGTCCCGCGGAGGCCCTGGACCTGTGCTCGGCTGCCTGGGCCACGCTGGGGTCCTCCCTCAGCCCTCTGCTCTGTCACTCCCCTTACACCTGTAGCCGGTTTCGTTTCTGCTTGGTCCCCTGCTGGTGACAAGGCCCGAGGGCGGGAAGTGCGCCCCCTGCTGTGCCCCGGTCTGGCCCACAGCACTAACGGGCGCTGCACGGTGGGCGGGGGCTCAATGGGATATCCCCAGGCAGTCTCTGCCGTCCAGCAGACGGGCTCCCGGTGAACGGGGCGTCCGGTCGGATGAGCCGTCGTCTCTGGTGACGGTGGGGCCGTGTTTGTTGGCCCCTGTTCTCGCCGGGCGGCTGGTGAGCTGCCCGAGTTCCCTGCCCCCTGCCGCACAGGGGCCAACTCCGCCCTCTGACCCTCTGTTTTCCAGCGCTGTGGCCGCCAGGCACCGTCCCCTCTGTCAGCTGCCTTCTCCACCAGTACCCCGCCCCGCCCCCACCTTCTAGACAGACCGCACAGGGAGGCGGCCGGGCGGAGGGGGTGGGTGGCAGAAGGCGCTGCGAGCACCCTGCCCCCCTCTCCGCAGCGTTCACGCGACTGCACCGGCAGAGCCACGGCGGGGGTGGGGGAGGGTTCGGCGCGGTGTGAGTCGGACTTCTTTCTGCAGACACACTAGCACTGTTCTGTTATTTCTTTTTCATGTGGGGGAGGGAGTGGGGAGGTGTTCTTTGAAATAGTTTTGCTATTGCAGTTTTCCCTTCTTAATATCTTTTTTTAAAATTATTTATTTATTTATCTTTATAGGGGAAGGGAAGGAGAGAGGGAGAGAAACATCAATGTGTGGTTGCCTCTCGTGCATCCCCCTACTGGGACCTGGCCCGCAACCCAGGCATGTGCCCTGACTGGGAATCGAACCACGGTCCTTTGGTTCGCAGGCCCGCGCTCAATCCACTGAGCTATAGCAGTCAGGGCCCCTCTTAATATCTTGCAAGCTTCTTGCACCTATAATTTTTTATTTATTTATTTATTTTTAGAGAGGGAAGGGAGGGAGATAGAGAGAGAGAGAGAGAGAAACATCCATGTGCGGTTGCTGGGGCTTATGGCCTGCAACCCAGGCATGTACCCTAGCTGGGAATCGAACCTGGGACACTTTGGTTCCCAGCCCGTGCTCCATCCACTGAGCTACGCCAGCCAGGGCTTAATTTTTTAAAAAATAATAGTTGTTCAAAATGAAGATTGTGGGTTTTAAAAAGGCCTACCTACGTTTTGGGGCTTTCCGTAGTAGAAACCATGTCCACTAGCAGGCTGTTTGGCATGCCGCCGGCAATCAGACCCACGCAGGCCTTGGCGCCCGCAGACGGCTGGTGAAGGTTAAGTTCGCTATTGCAACTGCAGCGGTTTAACCTCGTGCATGGACAACTTAGTGACCCAACAAGTGGGCGCATCAGCCTTGCGTCTGACGCCTCGAGGGAGAGGGTCGGCTGCAAACGTCCCACGTTTCCTTTGGGTGGTTTTGAAGTGTGGTGCTCACACAGTTCCCACGATGCCGATCGCCACGCACCCCCTTCCCCCTTTCTGTTAACCCAGGAGAGTGAACCTGACGCCCTTAAGGACCGATGCTCCGAACCCCGAACCGAGCAGTGTGGTGTCCATGCCTCCCACCGAGGACATGCAGGCGGGTGAGTGACAGTGGTCCTGGTGCCGTGTCCTCAGAGGTAGAATACCTCCTCTCCTGTCCTTCTGGAGATGAACGTCCGCTCGTTCTGAGTCAGCGTGGAGGCGGCAAGGATGCATCTCAGCGGACACACCGCCAGGCCCACCGCTGCCCCTGTGCCCCCGGTGGGGAGACCGCACCCCACCCCCCCAAACTGTGCAGGGGGTGGTGTGGGTCCAGCTGCTCAGCCGGGGCGCTGCTCACACTCTTTGTCGTGGGTGTTGTCCTATGACTGCAGGGTGTTCATTAGCACCCCTGGATGGTGGCACCCCATGCCCCCGACTCACGACCTGAAACATCCCCAGACAGTGCCCACTGTCCCCTGGGAGGCCAGTGGCCCCCGCTTGAGAACCGCTGGTACAGACCCCCCCACCTCTCGGAATACAGGGCCTCGCCAGGCGTGTTAATTCCGTGTCTGGGCTCAGAATCTTTTCTCTGAACGTCAGCTCTTAACTGCAAGAAGCCCTCACTGACTTGCCACCCTTGTGTGTGCTCACGTTTCAGAGACGCCTGGAGACCCTCAGGGCAGCTCCCTGGAGCTGAAGCGGCCCAGGCTCGGGGGAGCCAACGGCAGTGCCCAAGGTCCGGACCTTTGAGGACACCTGTCTCGTCTCGTGCTGGAAAGCCGCCAAGTCTGGGGGCCCCCGTGTGCAGAGGGAAGGGCGTGGGGCCGAAGACCCCAGAGGGCGTCAGAGGGACCTGGCAGACACTCCTAAAAGGGCTCCTGCGATGAGACGCACAGGGACCGGTTTTCCTCCAGAAACGTTTCCTCCCGTATATCGGATGCGGCTTACCTCGGGGTGCGCCTGTGCGGACGGGCCACACCCCCTTGCGGATGCGCGCGGGGGCCCTGGACTAGCCCCGCCTTCCCTGCCGTGAGAGGCGGGCTGAGAGGCGGGCGCTGCTGCCCGAGGCACCTCTGTGGACGTGCGGCCCCACGGGCAGCCCCCCGCCGCCGCTCTCGCTGGAGCTGGGAAGCGATTTGTGAGGGTTCGTTCCCTGGAGCTCTGGGGAGTTTGAATGGTTTTTAGATTTGGTTTTAAATAGCTGACTGATTCCTGGAAGTTGTTATATTTGATTTTTGCTTTCCGGTTTTAAAGGTCATATGTTCATTTTAAAAAGTTAATAAACTAGAGCGCAGTAGGGAAAACCAGGCTGGGCCCTGGCCGGGTCGCTCAGTGGGGTACAGTGTTGTCCCGATTCGCCGAGGTCGCGGGTTTGATCCCCGGTCCGGGCACAAACAAGATGCAATCGGTGAATGCACAGGTGAGGGGAACAACAGGTCGACGATTCTCTCCCTGTCTCTCTCAAATCATTTTTTTAACAAGAAAGAAATAAGAAACTTAAAAAAATAAAACTAAAAAACAGGTTGGGAGTAGGGGTCCCCGTCATCTCACACCCCAAAAGGAGCCCTTGTTACTGTTTTGGCCTATTTCCTCCTTCACCTTTTAATTTTATTTTTGTGGTTTTTTTTTTCTTTTTATGGGGAGAGTTGAGGTTTTACTTTAGATGCCATTGGGTATCCAAATAGGTTAACTTCTTAGATTTTTCAAAGCAAGAAAACATAACTTACACTTGACGCCTGTGCCTCTGCCCCCTCCGGTCCCAGGAGGGGACCAGGTCTCTGTCCTGCTGGGAAGACAGGGCAGTGAGGCTGCTGCTGCAGGAGGCGGGGGGCGGGGCGACAGGGAGGTGGCCTGTGTGGCAGCTGGTGGAACCCCGTTCAGGAGCTGGCGCTGAGAAGAGGTGTCACAGTGGCAGGAAGGTCAGTGCCGATGCTGTCACTGCGGCACAGCGGACACCAGGCAGACAGGTGAGGGTGCCGCACCCGGGGCCTCCTGCCCCACCTGACCGATGTCCACACGAGCAGGAGCCAGCGGTCAGGGGCCGCCCGCCGCGTCTCTGACCCGGAATGGGAGAAGACACCCAGGTCAGCAGCAACGGGGGGAAGAAGTGGGGGAAGCTTCCTTTGGTTTTTCAACCTGTGACCTTAACACAATTAATTTGCCTGGATTTTAGACAGGAAGGAGGCAAACGGGGCCACGGACCATGCGGAGAACTGGAAGGTGGCCGCCTGCGGGGTGGTCCCCACGCAGGTGTGGGCCCCACAGCACGGAGACATTTTAAAGTGTCAGGAGTGTCTGTTTTGGCCAGAGGTCCCCCACGTTGTCTGCCCTTGAGACCCCTTGAGGAGCTGATAGACACTGACAGCTGGGTCCCCTCCGGAGGGTCCAGCCGCAGTGGTCTGCGCTTGGCCTGAACCTCGGGCTCCTTTCAAGGTCCTCGGGGGACGGTGACCTGCGGCCAAGGTTGGGGAGTCGGGAGAGAGCTGTCCCGGTCAGGAGACGTCTCTCCCGGTGGGCGCTGTCCTCTGAGAGCGCGTTGTTGCATCTTGTTCCTGCGTCTCCTCTGCATCATCATGGACTGTCGGGAAAGAATGTTTCTTCACTGGGGCTCCAGAGTGAAGGGGACACCTGGACGGGGCTGCCTGCTGGCTCTTCAGGGGAGAGAGGCTGCCTCCCTCTTCCCGCCGCCGCCGCCGCCGGGGAGACGAGCGCTTGAAGCCACGTCCCTGTGCAGGCAGGAGTGACCAGGGGCCGTGTTCTCGGGGCCACCCCCGTGGAGGAGCATGTTTGTTGGGTCCCATGCGTCTGTCTCTGCAGCAAGAACGGGGAGGGGTGGGCAGGACCCCTTCGGTGTGTGTTTGCAGGCGCGACTCATCGTCTGCGGCCGCCACCTTGCACGTAAACGACAGTGTCTCGGAGCTGGGGCAGCATTAGCTCCGTGTCCTGAGCCACATGCTGGCCTGCACTGGGCAGTTCACCGGGCCTGTCCCCCAAGCAGCAGGAGCCTGGCTGGCAGCTCCGGCAGCCTGAGCCCCGGGGCGGCCGCTGGTGAGAACTTGGCACCTGGGTTGGCAGCTGCATGGGGTCTTGTCTGGCTTGTGCACTGCGTTGCCTGACTTCGGCAGCAGCTCCGCGGGGCAGGGGGGCAGGGGCCAGTGGGATGGGCTGGCTGCTGGCAGGACCTGACGTGGGTTCCCTGGGGCCTGGGAGTGGGGCTTGGGGACCAGAGCCTGCCCCCCGCTTGTGTGTCTGGGGAAGAAGGCTGGTGGGGTTCCCAGAGCGTGAAGCTGCCATTACATGTGGGGCACACAGTGGGCGGGGCCCCAGTGGGTGGCCGGGCCTGGGCCATCGTGGAAGCCATGTGAAGCAGGGGGTCCCCCAGGACGAGGGCACTTCGGCGGGAAGTCAGAAAGGGTGAGGGGCGGTCGGTCTTCCCAGCCGCCGCCCTGGGCCTTGCTGGAGGCACACCTGCGTTTGAAGGAGGCCGGGGACCCCCCACCGTGGCGCCTGTCCTGGGCTCTGAGAACTTGGAGTCCAGGGGTGGGGGGTGGAGGGTGGAGGATGAGCGGTGCCCCTCCTGAGCCTGGGGTCTCCCGGGGCCCCCGCAGCTCCCCTTCCTGTGTTACTTTGCTGTATTTCAGTCTCTGCTCCCTCTCACCTGCGGGGGCGGGGGGTGGTGGTGGTGGTGGTGGTGTATATCTGTCCATCTGTGTGTCTTCAAGACCGATGGGCCTCGGACAACTTACTTCATCTGGAGAAGTTGGTTTCCAGCTCCAGGAACTTGGACTTGGCCCACTTTCACGGGGGCGGGGGAGGAGGGCAGAAAGGAGAGAGGGGGTTAGATGGTTCTAGGCAAGCCCCTTCCCGCTGCACACTCGCACACGTGCGCGCATTCCTGTGGCCACTAGGTGGCACTGTCCCCACTGGAGTGGCCCCGGGTCAGGGCTGCCTCAGCCTGAAGGCTCTGCCCCTCCCCTCCCTCCGAGTGCTCCCTGTCCCTCTGGGGCTCACCCAGCACGGCCTCGGACACTGCTTCAGTCCCCGGGGGCCACCCCTACAGGGGAGCCCTGTTCGCCGGGCTGGGTGCTGGGTGGGCCCCCGAGCCCAAGTCCCGCCTCCGTCAGCAGGAGAGAGAAACGGCCACTCACCCGGGTCCCCTAGAGAAGCCCTTCTTTCTCCCCAGCCTTGGGCTCTGTGGGGCAGCGAGTCCCGTCACGGATGCTTAGTAGTGAGGCCGTGGGGTCGACACCTCTCTCTCCCTAGCACTCAGGACGACTCGACGTCTCTGTCCTCGACCCTCACGACCCTGGGAGAGGCGGGACAAGCGCAGTAGGGAACTCGGCACTGAAATAAGTGTGGGTCCCTCCGCCCTTGGGCAGCACCCTCGCAGGGCTGAGGACTGTGTGTTGGGGAGGAAGTCCTCAGGGGTCGGCCCTCCCCCGGCCCTGCCTGCTCCAGTCACCTGCGGGGCTTTACAAACAGAACCAGCCCGACCCAAGTCTGGGCCCTGTGGTCAGCCGTGGTGGGGGGTTGCCCGACCAGATGCCTGCATTTCACACAGCAGGTCCCACGGGCAGCTGGCCTTGAGCCCCACTGGGTGGCCAGACGTCAGGTCTGGAAGCTGCATCAGGGAAGGGCCTTTATAATACGCTTGAGTTGACTGGTTTCGTGACAAATATCTATGTTCTGCTGCCCAAGAAGACGCTGACTCTTGAAGGAAACTCTGCCACTCGGCTTCCACCTAAAAGGACAGAAACAAACAGGTGCGGTACCTTCGAAGCCGGTCCCAACACTCACTTGTTCCACACCAGGGGCCCCGTGTGGTGAGCTGGGGTCACGGGAAAGGATGAACTTCAGCCCTAACTGGATGAGTCCTCGGGCCGGCCACCAGGGGGCGGCATTGCTAGCCCTCAACTCCACAAACTTTTTTCCCCACCCCCCACAAACTTATTAATTGATTTTATACTTTTTTAATTAAAGGATTTTTAATGCTATTCTGATAAAAGTAGTATTTATCTATTTGCAATACACTTTATGTTTATTTCATTATGATTAAGTGCTATTTGGTCCAATGAGTTTTACAAATCCACGTCGTATACGGAATCAGACCACACCGTGGGAACTTCCCATACACATAGCTGCCTTTAGAAGGTGCTTATGTTAAATGTAACCAGAGGTACAATGAGTTTGAAGAAGCTCACCTCAGAAAGGCTTGTTACTTCTTAAACCAAAGAAGCTTTAATGACTTTTTCCTACACATGAGCAACAAATACATCCGCTGGGCCTCACAGCTGTGCAGAGACACCTGTGCTAAGACTTGTTGCACTGTCTTGAGACGGAAAGCAAGACTGGGAGTCACCTGAGTGTCTGTCAACAGGGGATGGGCTCAGTGACAGTACCCGGGGTGTTATGCAACCGTTAGCCCACATGGGCTGCTGGGGTGTGGAGGATGGATGGTGGCCAGGTGGCGTCAGGAGCTGAGGGGGTGGGCCAGGCCAGGGCGGGCTGGGCCAGGCCACCGGCCTGGGGAGCTGAGGGGCGGGTGCCCTTGAGGAGTGTGTGGAGATCACGACGACAAGTGCAGTAAGGAGGCCGGGAGGGAAGAACGTCCAGTTGTAAGTCACAGAGACTGTGGTTAACTCCTGAGAGTTCCGTCTGAGAGCCGCCCAGCGTAGGTCTTCGCCATTCTCATCACGAGAGAGAAGTTAACACCCATCACCACACATAGTTTCTACGCTTACGGCGGTCATAATTTCACAATATGCATATACTCAAATCATCGTGTCGTATGCCTAAAATCAATGCGATGTGGTGTGCTGATGATATCTCAATAAAACTGGAAGAAAAGGCCACAGCGGCAGTGACTCTGAGTATTGGTGAGGTTATTCGCTGGTGAGGAGAGATCCCAGAACTGCACTGTTGGGAGGGCTGCCCAGATGTGCAGCTCAGAGCAGGAAGCAGCCGGCCTGGCAGGACGGCTCCTGTCTGCCCCATTTCCCTTAACCCAGGAGAGGGGAGACTGAGGCCCACACTCCCTGTAGGACGGGCAGGTGCCGAATTTGCTTCCAGAAGACGAGCCCCAGGGCGGCGCTCTTTACCGCCACCCACCGGCCGCTCAGAGGCTCCACCCTCCTCCCAGTGCCGGGGCGGGGGCGGGCACTGCGCATCACAGCTCCGTCTCCCTCCGCCTCCACTCTTCCCGGGACGGGGAGCTCGCC